TAAATAATATTTTATTGCGTATTATATTAGTACACAAAGATACACAAAGATTGCCATTTTGATCAAACTTGCCTTATATAATTCTGACTTGTGTGTTGAAATATAACTTATAATTATGCTCCTTCGGCATGGTCCAAAGAAATATCACCTGAATCCTGCGTTTTTTAAGCCGCGATTCCTTTGCGGCCCGCGCGCTTCGTCTCGTATCGATCCCTTAATGCGAACCAGATAAATCGAAGACCCCCGACTTCTCAGAATCGTCCAGGTAGCGCGGCACGAAGCACAACGGGGCTCTACCTTCTCGATCTTTCGCGTGTGATGCTCCATTGTTCTCATATCGCTACTCGCTTAAACGCACTTTCCCTTTTCAGCGTCCGACACTTGCCACTTATGATTAAATAATGTTAACGTTTTAATAAGTTGTGTAAGACGTTGTAATTTAAATGTATTAAATTCACTAATTTAACCATTCGATCGCGCACAAAAGGGTTGAAGGAAGCGTCATTCTTTTGACGGGATTACAAAGCGATTTTTCCACACACCTCCTCCTTGGTCTTTCTCCATGCACATGCCTCCGCATATCCGCTGACCACCTGTCGGCGATTTCGCCACCCACAAACGAAAACCAGCATCTGGACGCTTAACGAACTAAATGAAAAATAACAGAAGAAAAAAAAGCACACTGCCTGCGGAACCACGTGGATACGCGGTAATTACAATTAATCATCGTAATTACGCGTTTTCGCCCGCGGATATCGCGGTGTACTATCTTGTTTTCCTGTGTCACGATATTCGGTGCACCGAACATTAAAAAGGAGTCACATGTGCGATGCCCCGGGATTATCTTTCTCACGGTCGGGAAAACGGGACGTCGAGGTGCGCGATTCAAAACCGTGCGAACACGATCGCGCGCGCATGAATGAAACGCATAAATGCGCCGCGCTCTTCTCTATCGTTCAATAGTTATTGACCTAGCCGCCGATACCAGTCGCACCGAGAATCGAGAACGACCATAAATTCTAGACCGGAAATGCAAACGTAAATGCCGTAAAGAGAAAAAGGGGGTATTGTTCACGCTTTTATAGTATAAGCTATTTCACAACTTCTAATGTAACTCTGTAAGACGTGTAATTGTGTAACAGCATATTAATTATATAATAACAGCGTATAATTATATATAATTCGCCGCATTAATTATAAAATTAAGCAGCTGGAAAAAATGGTTTTGCGGAGATCAAGCCATATCATTATAGAAATATTCAATTTATACTAAAAAATATTCATGAAGATAACTAATTTAACTGTAATTATATTTTTTCTAATGAGTAGCATCTAATAACAAAAAGGATGGATTCGAATAAAATTTATAAACTTAAACAATAGTGATGAACTTTTCGGATTTGTTGTTACTCGTAATTCAGTTATCCGCTATGTGGCCTCGTTCGCTTTTTTTATCCCGCTTTTTTTTTTACTGTCGCTGTATCTCGAACATGATAAACGGCCCGCCGCTTCATTATTCTTTGCTGCATAATATTCTGCCGCGTCGTTGCCGGTGCACACCGTATAATATGAATCGACCTTTATCGCGTACGCGTTTGCGATTAAATTGCGCGTGCTCCACTACGCATGCATGCTTGCGCGCTTTGCGTGAATCCTACCCGCACGCATGCGAGCGTGTTAATAAAATGAATCTTTCGTATTATTCAATCTCTAACTTATACAAAAGCATCGCATAATGTGGCTTAGAATGATGCATGAATAATGTACAATAAATGAACTGAAAGTATCTTAATTTTAATTTTCGAAGCTGCGTGCGAAATGAAAACGCGATATACAAAGTTAGAAATTAGTGCAGATTGTAGATTGGCCCTTAATTATGCCATATGGGGTGATTACGTTGATCGCAAACTATATTATTATTTAAACCCCTTTGAGTTTATCAGAAGATTGCACAGGGAAAGCGGGAGCACCATAGGCAGCTCATACCAGCACCTGCTTTCCCATGTCCCACGGCATACTTTGACACCTTTTTGCCCCCTATTCCGACCCTTTTCCTTTTTTTTTTGCTTCTTGATGTCATTCATCGTATCGATTTGTAAAATATACTAAAGAACGGAAACCTCGGGATAATAAGTTAACATAGATCGTCGTAGATATAATGAATTTTCTTTTAAAAAATTCTAGTAACCTCCAAATCCGAACATCAATTAGCTGATTTTTAAATAATAATGGAATGGATTTTTAATGGTTTGTTGAAAAAAAAGGAAATGAGAACAGACACTCTGTTTAACTATAATTATAATAGATTAATGGGACAGATATAGTTGTAAATCATGTTATACGACGACCTTTAATGTAATGTAATGTGCGTAATGCAACGTAATGTACTTTAATGTAATGTGGAAATTAGATACATGATGTATCACGGAGGGTGAGCGCGGAGCTACTTTATTATCGGAGCAACGCGACGCGAGGCACGCTTATCGTCGCCGATCGCGTTCAGCAACCATCCCTAAGGTGGATCATTGTCCCCCTTCGAATCATTACGTGTCGTTACGTTACGTACGCACGCATATCGTGCTTGCACGCGCCGTGAGCGCGTTCGCCAGGCGGTACGCTGACATGCTCGGTGACGAGCGGCGGCGGGATGGGTATCGTGGAGCATTTTACATATCTGATACCCACCGGCAGATTGAATAACGATATCGTGCCTCGTATTATAAATATTTATATGAACTTATATCGTATGAATTATCGATTATTGATTTTTGCAGACATACAACTTTTATGTAACTTTTTTTCGAATTTTAAAATCTCAAAAAGACTAATTAGTGATGATTACAGTCAAATAATATTCATATGTGTATTATTTTGTGTCGTAAAAGCAGCACAATAAAGATATGAAACCTTATCTGCATAATGGACAATGGCACCATCAAAATTAATTAAGCGGTTTCATCAAAGAGAAAAAGTGCCCCACGAATGAAAGTAGGACACAATGCGACAATCTGTTCTGCCTAGTAGAATATATAATGCTTTACATACCACCGCTGTCATTACGTTGTCGTGCTTCTACTCTGCGGTGTGTACGAGCCTTTGTTTCATTCACTGGTTTCCCGACGCCCGACGTACGAGAGAAGTGTACGAGAGCGAACGCGAATGGTGAGCGTACGCACGCACGCACTCAAGCGCGGAACCCCTTCAAGGATGAGAATAAGCCGTGGAGAAGAGAGAAAGAGAGAAGGACCGAGAAAGAGAGACTCCCTCTTGGTTTGTCTTCCCTCGAGCGCACATCCTCTTTCATTTAACGAGGACTTTAATTTGGCTTGTACTATGATGACGGATAGATCGCCTTCCTTCTGTTCCCCTCGCGAATTGCGTCCACAGATTCTAAGGTCCGATCTACAATGTGCTTCTTACGTATTGTTTCTTGCTCTCTGCCTTTCGTATCTTTGCTTTTCATGTGTTTGTCGCATGGAATCAAGAAACGCCGTGATTTACAATTTTTTCTTTCCAAAAATTTCCGAAGAAAAATATGTCTTTACGTAAAGGCAAATAAGCAGAAAACAAATCAAAACGCACATTGTAGATTGGACTTGGCACGAATTATGTATGTATCTTACTAACTACTTTGCATTCATATTATGAAGAATTTTATTTTTCCACGTGTAGATACGTAATAATCAAGGAAATATTTAGTTAATTTTTATTTCGCAAAGTAGATTACTTAATTTTTATAGCAATTTCTGCCACAAATCTATTTTCAGCGCACAAAATTCGATGTATGATCCGCGTGCAAAATACAGAATATATTTTATATAGACGAACCGCTCATGTATGCAAGATACACATCAAAATACGCACACATATTAGAAACGTAGCATACAAAATTATATTTAGAATTCTGGCACGAATTCTATTGTAAATGAAAAATGTAATGTGCGCTTAAATGTAAGCTGCATGAAATATTCATGTCACAGTTTTGAATGTGCGTACCATGACTAATATTATTAATATGGGTGCCTTTTAAAGTGTCGTGCCAGGGTGCGCAGGTGAACGACCATAATACATAATATATTATACATATGAATACTTGATAACATTAAATGATAATAAATTACAATAAACAATCATATACTTATATAATAAATTACAAATACGATACGTATTTTATATTGCTCGTACGTTTTCACCGGCTAACGAAGAACGATTCTCGAAGGTGTGCTCGCGCGCATACCTGAAACGGAGTTACGTTGTCGCCGTGAACGCGAGTAGCCTCGCCGAATTCAATGGACTTTTAATCAAGACGAAGGACACGTAGTACTCGTCGCGCGTTACTCCCGCCGTGTGTAATTTCACGGTCGAAAGAGAACGGGGGTACTACTACGACGTACTCCAAAGAGCGGACGTAGTAACCTCGCCGGAGAAAGGGCAAACTCCTCTCCTCCTTCCTCTCCCGTTCCTTCTCTCTCGTGTTCAAGATTCGGAACGGAGAGAAAAAGAGATCAAGGCTGCGTGATTTTTGACGATTGTCGCGCGTGATTCGCCGTTGTCGCATCTGATCGCAATTACCGACGATTAAAAGCAGTATTTCCGCGTTTCTCATTAAAGGATTGCTTTTTTTTTTGGTACAAATAAATAATCTAATGGTTCTTGACGAATCTTAGCGGTATTTTTCGCGTAATGCTTATATCATTGCGGTATTATTAATAGCATGTCACGTTTGGCGTTGTTCTGAAAGCACACGATGTAGAAAGCCGCATCGCGCGAGATGTAAAATGCGAATAATTAAAGTATAATAAATTTGTGAACATTTATTTTTATACGATAGAGACTGTATTTATATCAAATAATTTTTTTTTCAATGATGAGGAAAATTGAGTTGATTAGAATCTGCGTTGAAGCAACTTGGTAGGATTGTTGAGTTTTTTTTCTTGCGCATAAGAATACCGACTCTATCACGATGTTAATCTAATAGCATCTGCCTCAATTTGTTACAGAGGTGGGAGCAGCTGGTCGTCTCGAAGTTGAAATGGGAATTGTCTGCGGTAACACCCGGTGACTTTCTGATGCACATCCTCAGCAGATTGCCGATGCCACGCACTTGGGACACCGTGAAGGTCCGAAAGCACGCACAAACCTTTATCGCTCTCAGCGCCAGAGGTGAGCATCAAGTAATTAATAGAAAAAATAGAATTAGCAAAATTAATATTGGCTATTGGCAGTAGTTGACGCTTTTATTCATTCTAAATCTCATTTATCTTTATTTCGAAATCTCGCAGGAGAGTTTCACACAAAATTATTAACAATTATTAATGAAAAAATACTTACATCACGACTTTCTCACTTTCCTTCGTCGATGCGTCGTTTTATGCGTCTGTAGAATCGTTTGCCTTCGGTTTTCTGAATATGGGAACGACCGCATAAGCATTTCTAACCGGGTCGACGAGCGCAACTCTTGAAATAAGCTTCTTATGCGTATTGCGCGTTGCAATCGTGCCACGCCGTAAACAACCGTGGGGACGTGCATCGTTAACGTACGCATTAATGAACATACGGACCGTAGAACGCGTGTAGAACACCGGTGGCGGAAACTGCCACGTAACGTCGCATGAATCGCTTCTTTTCTTCGCCTTTTCTCCGTCTCTTTTTTCTTTGTTAAATGGGTCACGCATATACATATAGACGAGGCCGCCAATAATACACGCAGTTCGAAAAGCATGCTGCTTAGTAAGATAAGCCTGTTATTGCTGCTATTACACCTTTTGTTGCTATCTATTAGTAAGCTTTTATGGAGAAGAGAAAGGGCTATGGGCCCTATAAAAAATAAGTAGTGTAATATTACCGCATGATGACGTATCGTTATTTTTACTACAATGTTGCTACATTATTATTAGGATTCTCGGTTTCTCTGCATTTTCCTGCGCTAATAATAGCAAAAAAATGTAAAAATAGATATAATAGCAGTAATAAAATACCGTGAAATAAGTACTAAATGCTATAAATAGGAATCATTACGTAGAATACGTAATTTTTTTTCAATTTGATACTTCCATAAAAGTGAAAAACTATTTTTGTTCAATAACGGAATACGATGAATGTAGAAAATGCCAGTCGGCTTGAATTGTGAACTATAGAAAATCTCGGCATCCTGTGTTTCCTAATCGCGCGCGAAGCAATGGAGGCTTTAAGGGCCTTTAAATGCGCGTTTAAATGCCCGATCACGTTGGGCATGAACGACTTCAGCCTCTCTGGAATCCGTGGAATTTCGCCGTATTTTCCGCAATGTCGTCTATACAACAACTTACGATCGCGATCGTACAGATCGTCTATATTATTATCAGATTAGTTAAACCAAATTAATTAAAAAAATTTTGTAAATTAAAACAAATTTTATTTACAAAAGTAGAAAATTTTATATTATATCAATTGATTCACAATCTATTTATAACTTTCAATCTAGTAGTCTATTCTTTGTCGCGGAGAAAAATGAGTTGGCGGTATAAATCAATTTTTGAAAAATAAATATTTGAAAAGGCAAAAAATATTGCAGAAGTTTAAATGAGAATTCTTATTCTTATGTCTCTTGTAATTTACAAGACAATGCAATAGTCGTCTCTTAAAAAAAAATTTTTTTGCTCCGAAATTATCATAAGTAGAAATCCTTCAACGTGACTCGTGTGTCCTCCGATGATTCGAGACGAAATCAGAGGGAGAATTCGCCGCGAAAGTACGCAGCGAGATAGGCAGACTGATAACGCGGAGCTAAAAAGGATCGAGATCGAGTGCGTTTAAATGCCTGGACGTGTCTCCACGTCTGCAGGCACGTCGGCATAATCCTTCTCTTTTCCTCCTCCTTCTGCGTCGATGCAACTGCTTCTCTCCGCTCTGTTCTCTCTCTTCTTCCTCGAGTCTCCGTCCCGCATCGTCTGCATCGGTCAGTCGGTTGTTATTACAACCGCGATGGCAAAAAAAGCGGCGGTGCGCGGAGAGCACCTTCGTCCTTCATCGTTGGTCCTGGTGCTCGTATTGGTTCTGATGCTCGTATTGGTCCGGACTCGACGGACTTGACAGAAAGAGAGAGAGAGAGAGAGAGAGAGAGAGAGAGAGAGAGAGAGAGAGAGAGAAGAGAGAGGGAGAGAAAGAGAAAGAGAAACGACAGCAGGAGAAAGAGGAAGAAGAGAAACGACAGAAAATACGAGCGAGAGTTACGAGTTACAGCGGAAAACGGTGGATTATGTGTGTTTAACCCTCCCTGCCCTCCTTCCGCCGCTCCTCTTCCCCTACGCCTACGTTCGTCGTCGCGCAAACGCGCTTCCGAAAGCCCCCGAGTTATGTTTGAGCACGAAAAGTAAACTTCGACTTCGTGGCGACGTGAGGCGCTTTGTGAGGATTAGGTGGCCGCCACCGGGTGAATCGATTCCTTTGTTCTGACTTCCGCGCGCCGCGGAATCGATTCTCCGACAGAATATCTGCCGCTGCATCGGCGGCACCGTCAAGGTCCGACGGACCTTCGGCTCGCTCTTTCGTGCGTGCAAACGTTTAAGGAGCCTGGGAATCGCGAGAGGAGAAAAGAGCGAGGTCGATTTTTCGTAAACAATGCCGCGTAATTCGAGGCGATGACTGAGGAGGTCGGTTTTAAATGCGATCGTAAACTTGACGAACGCGTGCATTTTTAATCATCAATTATTCATTAATTACACGAAGCTTGAAGATATTTCACGTTGGAATATTTTTTTTTCCTCATTCGTCTCGATCGAGATTCTCTGAAGATTTCGACACATGACGCGAGGCACAATGTAAAAATAACTCAACATCCGAGAAAAGATCGAGATGCAATAATCCCGAAGTATTCATTGTTTCAGGAATCGCGCGGGGGCGTCTAAGGCTTCGCGAGAATTCTTGCCGGGCTGAAAAAGACGCGAATGCAATTATACGGACGTCCGGAGTTTCTCCGCAATGCCGGAGACGCGACTCCGGTCGCCGCAGCTGAGCTTCTCGGCGACGCAAAGTGGAAACAGGGAGGTAAACTCGAGGAAAAACTAGCCTGGCTCGACGTGCAACAGGTAGGGAAGCCCACGGCGGAGGCTCGGTGCACGTCCGAACACGAGCAAGCTGCGAACATCGCGAGTGCGGCGACGGATCAGTGACGATGATCGACGAAATCGCTTCTGAATTTCAGTCAAGGTGAGCAGTGTAGAAGAATCTGTGGTCGATTGCAACAAGAAGCAATTCTGATAACTGTAATAATAATCATCGCGTCACGATATTCCTCTTCCATGCAAATTTTCAATAAAAACGTTACAGTAATTATAGAAAAAATAATTGGGAAATTCAAAATACCTATATGCTGTGATTGTCATTTTTCGAAGAATCATAGATTTCAAATCACGACTGTCTGTATAATTCGCGTGTATATCACTGAAATATATGCGCATAAAATTCAAGCCGCATAATGTGCAGAACTAAACGCCGCATTTTACGGTTCAATGACATAATGGGTATCGCGCTTACTACCTTTTCCTCTATAATGGAGATACTAATCGCGCAATCGGTGCGGTAACGCGTACAGGTAACGAGTAGGTGGTCCACCGTCGATCCCGATCAGATCGCGAGGCGAAGCGCGGTAGCAAATCGGGCAACGAGGCGAGCGAGCGAGCGAGCGAGCGAGTGAGCGATACAGAACTCGGCGCGCTCGATCAATGCGCGCGCGCCTGGCCGGTTGCACAACGAAACTGGTAACCGCGCGCGGTCCGCGAAGTGCCTAATCGCACACCTTCACCTAGATATCTCGATGCTTGTGCGACGACGACGACATGTCCTTTCGAATCGAGTTGCGACGATAATAATTCAACCGCTCGGCCGACAGGTTGATTCTTTTTTTTGTTTTGCCCGCCGCGAATTGTGATAACAAAGAAGCTGAAACCGCCCCGAGGTGGTTCCCGATATAAATCCTAGATGAAATATTGCGCGAATTGCACAACGCTCGGCGTGTCGACAATGTTTCAACTCTTTGAGGCGCGCGTGGTGTGCATTTACTTTACTTATTCATGCGTAGTCCGCTAATTGCGAAGTGGAAAGTTAGAAAATATCCGCGCCACAGATGTGAAAAGAATTCGATACATAATCTCGAAATAAACAAGTTGTTAAATCTGAGAGATCAATAATGAAATAATGAAACGCTCAACTTATGAACTTTCTCTTTCACAATTAAAACGCACGGTACGTTCCTTCGCGAATCTCGTCCAGTTTTGATCGCAATCGACCACGTTGAAACGGCACGGATCGGGATACGAGTTTGTAGATCCGCGATCGCGCGGAATTAGCGCGAGAGCGGTACAAGATCGGCTGACATTTACGATCGGATAAAATCTCGATTCATTCGAGGCGGGCATGAATTTATATTGCGAACGCGCCTAGCGGAAAAAGAGAGCAGAGAGCAGTTCGTGAAAAAAAGCGGCTCTCTCTCTCTCTCTCTCTCTCTCTCTCTCTCTCTCTCTCTCTCTGTCTCTTTCTCTTTTCCTCCCTGACGGTTCAAAGACCGCCTAAGCGTATGCGACTCGTCCCTGCATGATTATGGTTCCATTCATGTGCGACCAGTTCGGTTCGGTTTCTTCTCTGTACCGATTTCAATCTTAGCCGTCGCGTGCGTTACACATAGGCGCAGCGTAACGTATAGCCGTCATCGTCGTCATCGAATCGCCAATGCAGTTCTGTTCGAAACGGCGAGAACGTTCACTTTTAACAAACCGGACTACACCACGCGAAATGATCGAGCGTAGAGATCGCATTGTGAAACCGACGTCTCTCTCTCTTTCTCTCTCTTGAGAAAATCTCTCGCGAAACGATCCGCGCGATGGATCGTACAACGCAAAATTCGACGAAGAAGCGTTACGTAAGGATCTTGCAGTTGTAGCGTCTTCATCTTCCAATACATTTATATATAATAAATTTTACTGCGCATAAAGTCTTCTTATTCTCTCTCGTTCTCTTTAACACTTTAAAAGTTTTTATCTCGGTAAAAATTTAATTGACTTAATTGCACCGAGATTAATTATCCGTCAGAAAGAGAAAAAGCGATTAAACGGCGAAAGGGCGTGTTCGTAACGACACACGCATTTTCTATCAGTACTGTACCGGTTTTAAAGGACTGGCCTGGCGAAGGAGACGGTCG